GAGTGAGGCCTTGACTTGGCGCTCTCCCTCCCTGCCAGACAGACTCATTGGCACTGTCCCCCAAGTGGGCCGAGATGCCACAGGCCACCGGGCTCTGGGGACGGGCATGGGCAGGGCCGGCTGCCCGCGGGGCGTCACCCAGCGCCTGCTCTGCCGGGGTCCAACTCTTGGGTAACTTTTCTTTTGTGGCCGCCACTGTCCCGCACAGCTTCCTCCCGGAGCAGATCAGCTCGTGGGCTTGCTCGGCGCGGGGGTCACGACGGGCCTCGCTGGCTGACTTGGCTGCCCGAGCTGCGTCCTCGGCGAGGCGATGATCCTGCTCGCCTGCTCTCGGGGGGTGGGGGAGCCAAGGAAGGCCGGCACCGCCGCGGCCCTAAGTTTTCATGGTGTGATGAGGGAGCAGTGTCCGAGAGGCTGATGGAGCGATGCAAAACAGCAGAGAGGGCGGGAGCTACCCCAGCCTGGAGGCACAAGGGTCCCCGCTGACGGGTGCTGCTGTCTGCACCCCCCTAGGGCAGCACGATGCAGGGTCTCTGTGCCGCTCCCACTTGGAGGATGTAAGCCTGGGGGTGCCCCTCTCTTCCTGAGGTCCCCAAATCTGTGAGGTCGCTGGGCTGTTGGGAAGTGACCTTTCCACCCCAGCGGAGGTAACTTGCAGCTTTGCAGACTCACAAGAGAAGCTGGCCCTCCCGCCTCACCCCCAGGGTGGCTGGTCTCCCCACAAAGGGCTCATTCTCCACGCCCACGCTCCGGGGTCTGGGTTGTACCAGCCACGGGCCCCATCCCCACCTAACCTGTCATGGGATATGTCATCAGGGAGCAGGAAAGGGGCGTCAAATGCACCCTTGCCAGGGAAAGGGAGGGGCAGGCCACCTTTTGGGGCCACCTTTTGGGAGAACCTTTGTGCCGACCATTGGACACTTGCCTGCTGCTCCTGCCAGACGAGGACAGGGCAGTGAGGACAGCCCAAGGGGAGGCCCGCTGGGCGACGGTGTGTGTGGGGTGGGGGTGTCTGGGGGGGGCACCGAGGTGGGTGCTAGGTGTGTAAGAGGGGCTGGGACAGGGAGCTGGTCAGCCGTCGTGGGTCCGGGCCTGGGCCCACCCCGGACCCCACGGCCCAGCCCCTCGGCTCCCCGCCGCCATGTGTGTGTGTCCTAGATTCCCACCCAGCGCAAGGTCAACATCTACAACATCCTCCAGGAGATCATCCAGCAGGAGGGGGAGCTGGAGGAGCAGTGTGTGCAGAGGCTGGTGGCCATCGCCTCCCGGGAGATGAGGGAGAGCCTGGAGGTAGCCGCGTCCTGGGCTCTGTCACCGGCCCCCAACCCAGGGATGGGCCGTGGGTAGGCATGGCCCGGGGTGCCCGAGGCCCTGCCAGCGAGCTCCCCTGGCGAGAGCGGGCTGTGGAGCCCCAGGGAGCCCGCAGGCCAGCGCCGTCTCAGGGCAGGCCCTTTCCACGAGGCCTTGTTGAGGGGGCCCCTGGGCCGCCTCTCATCCTGCAGGTGGACGGCTACGTGAGGGCAGAGGTGGCCAGCGACACCCTGGTGGCCCTGTCCCGAAACCACTTCAGCATGGTCATGTATGAGCTGCAGCACCACCTCAAGCCCCTCGACCTCGCGGATGAGTTTGTCATTGTCACCCTGGCGAAGCTGGCCAACGGCAACGGTAGGCCTGGGTCCCTCGCCCGTTTCTGGACCCTCCAGCAGGCCGGGTGCCCCCTCCTGGTCTCCATCATCTCCTCTTCCTTTCTTCTTCGATGGTGGGTGCGGGCCCGCGGGGCCCCTGCCCTATGAAGAAGGGGCGTGAGCAAGTCGATGCGGACGTTGGTGTCACAGCGGCAGAGGTGCTGCTTGAGATGAGAGTGTGGAAGTCACCTCGTTTCTGGGGGGCCTCCTTGAGGATGGTGTGCGTGCTGCGGGGTCTCCTCTGCCTCGTGGCCGAGCACCGGCTGACTCCCCATGCCCTCTGCCCTCGCCCCACAGTGTTTGAGTTCATGCCGTACATGGGCATCACCCTGGCTACCATCTTCACCATGCTGAGGCTCGCCAATGAGGCCAAGATGCGGCAGGTGATCTGTGGCGGTAGGTGTGCAGCGCAGGCCTGATCAAGGAGCTGGAGGGGACCGTGGGGTAAAAAATGGAGGGGATTTTGAACAAGGGGTGGAGGGTTCATTGACTCCCAAATCTCTGCTCATTCTCCTTCTCTGTGTGGCCTCTGACCGGCGCCCTGGGGGAACAGGTGGCTGAACCAGGGCCGTCACTGTGACTCAGTGTGGCTGGTTCTGCAGGGAAGCACTTCAGGAGAAGACCAGAGGAGGGTAGTGGGGGGTCCCTGGGAGAGGGAGACCAGGCAAAGCGCTTCTACCTCGGCCTCAGCGTGGGCAGTTCTTCTAGGCAATTTACATCAGAACGCCTGGCCCCAGGTTTTGATGACTTAATGGATTTGTGAACCCCAAATCCCTGATACCTGAGCAAAAGGCCATTCTCTGCATGGTGCCCCCACAGATCGTGGCTAGACTCCTATCCTGGCCCCACCCTTCACCTGTGCTCATCAACCCCAAGGTGTGGGGCTCGGGGAGTTTTTCACACACAGGCGGCAGGGTAAAATTAGGGCTGTGTTGGGGACCTAGACGGAGGGAGATGGAGCAAGGCAGAAAGGCACTGTCCCGCAAGGCCTGGCCAGCACAGGCGCCTGCTGGCTAGGGACTGTGTGACGCCCCCTCGGGGAGGTGGCCTTGGCATACCGGCCTGCTTCCCGCCCGGGGCTCAGGCGTATCTCCCCGCCCCGCCCCTGCCGGTAGCCATGGAGACCTTCTGTGAGACTGTGCAGTTTTATCTGAAGCACCTGGAAGACAGTGTGTACCCCGTGATGACCGAGGACCAGTTCGCCGTGAAGCTCTTCCCGATGTACCGCTATTTTGTGACTGTGTGGCTGAGGAATCACAACCCCGAGGTGAGGGGCACCCCTGGAGAGTGTGGCACCGCAGGTCACAGCTCCCCACTCTATGGGGCGAGGCTGAGACACCACCGAGCCCAGCTTCATTCCTGGATGCCCAAGGAGGTAGTGGCGTCAGGGAACTTGGGGTGTTGAACCCCATGGGCCCTGAAGCCTGGGAGGCCATAGTCCTAGGCCAGGGTGGACGCTGGGGCATGAGAAGGCTCTCTGGGCGCTTCGCCCACAGGCTTGGCCACGCCAGCTCTGCTGCAGGACTGTTGTGCAGATGAGGGAGCCGGCCCAGAGCAGTTCGGCGCCTGCCCAGGCCCCATGGGGGACAGCGCAGGCTCGCAGGGGTGACCGGCCCCGCTGGCCGCCGCCGCTGCCGGGTCCTCACTGGCGTGCGTCCTGGGAAGGGGCGCTAGTCCCTGGGGATGGACACGGATGGGCCTTGCCGGGCCCTCACCACGGGGTCCACGCCCCGCTCCTGTGGCAGGTGAAGCTGGGGGTCATCAAGTCCCTGAAGCCCATGCTGAACCTCCTCCTGCCCCACGATGACCTGCGGGAGCAGGTGTACGACTACATCCCGCTGCTGCTGGCCGAGTACCAGGGCGGCCTGGAGGCCCTGTTCATCACACAGGTGCGAGGCCCCACGGCTGACGCCTGGAGCGGGGGCGGGGGCGCGTCGGGGGTCCCCCTTGTCCCGGGATGTCATCTGCGGGGAGATGTCAGGTGTCCTGGTTCCTGACAGCGGGCCTGACATGTGGGCCTCACCAGGGGCCGAGGCGCCTGGCCCTTCCAGGGCTGGTCAGAAAGGAACGCTGCTGTTCCAGCTGGAAGGGACAGAATCCCTAAGGACCCTGGAGGCCACAGGGAGGTGGTGGCCTGGGTGTGTGTCTGGGGATCTTGGAAAGGAAGAAGTTAAAAACAACAGAAAACAGGCCCTCCCTGGGGGCGCAAGGGGTGAGCGCAGCACTATGAAGCCAGCTGCTGGCTGCAGGGCTTCAGCTCGAGGTCGATCACCCCCAGAGATGACCCCCAGGGCTCAGCAGACCCCTCCTGTCCTGCCTGCTGCTCGCCTCAGCAGTGTGTTTCACTGCTCCGCCTGTTCTGCTCCCTGCTCTGTCTCTGGCGAATCCTCTCACCCTCGGCACCTCTGGCCTGTGCCCCAGTTCTTGTTTGCATAAGAAAAAATAAAAATTTAAAAATACAACAGAAATTCCTTCTCTGGAGGCTGCAAGTCCAATGTGAAGGAAGGGCAGGGCCATGAGGCTTTTGGGGAGACGCCAGTTTGCGTCTCTGGTGGCCCAGGGACTGGCTGGCTCCAGGCAGCATGGCGCCATCCCAGGCCCTGCCTCCGCCCCGTCTCCACGGCCGCTCCCCAAATCAGCAGCCAGCCGGGGCCTGCCCTGCTCTGGGGAATCTTCCTCCAGTTCCTTCAGAGATACAGCTGCAAAGTCCCCAAATACAGTCACGTTCCAAGGGGCGGTGGGATGAGGACTTGGAGGGAGGCAGAGCTGCCTGCCGCAGGGCTTGGGGTGGGGGGTAAGGAGGGGTGCGAGGCAGGCCCATGTGGACTGCAGAGGGGCCTCAGCTGTGCCAGAGCAGGACCGCAACGACGCTGTCAGGGAGCCCTCGGGGTGGCCGGCTGTGGAAAGGGGCCC